GCTCCGGGCGCTCGGGGGACACGCTCCTCCACCACGCTGCCCGATACGGGCACCGCCACGTCCTTGCCTACCTGGTTGAGGCGCTGGGGATGGACGTCGAGGTGTTCAACAGCGACTACAAGAGACCCCTCCACGAAGCGGCCTCCATGGGCCACGAGGACTGCGTCTCCTACCTCCTGGGGAGAGGCGCGAGCGTGGACTGTCTGAAAAAGGCAGACTGGTAGGTCAGTGGCTTGCTTTGCCCGTCGGAGCGAGATCGGAAAGGGGTTTGGATGCAGAAGGTGGGGATGTGACGCAGGATCTGTCATTTAGAAGTGGAATCAGAAGGTGTGGGGCTGGAAGGGACCTTTTAAGGTCACCTAGTGCAACCCCCCTGCAGTGAGCAGGGACATCTTTACCCAGATCAGGTTGCTCAGAGCCCTGTCCAGCCTGATCTGGGATGTTTCTAGGGACGAGGCTTCTACTACCTCTCTGGGCAACCTGTGCAAGTGTTTCACCACCCGCATCATAAAATATTTTTTCCTTACATCCAGTCTGAATCTGCCCTCTTCAGTTTAAAACCGTCCCTCGCTGTCCTATCACAATAAGCTGTATTAAAAAGTCTGTCCTCATCTTATAAGCCTCTTTTAAGCACTAGAAGGCCACTGTAAGGTCTCCCCTTTAGGAGCCTTCTCTTCTCCAGGCTGAACAGCCCCAACTCGCTCAGCCCGTCCTTGCAGGGAAGGTGCTTCAGCCCCCTGATCGTCTTCGTGGCCTCCTCTGGACCCGCTCAAACAGGTCCACGTCCTTCCTAAGCTGAGGACCCCAGAGCTGGGCACAGAACTGCAGGTGGGTTCTCACCAGAGCGAAGCAGAGGGGCAGAATCACCAACCTCGATCTTCTCGCCACGCTTCTTGGGATGCAGCCCAGGATACAGTTGGCTTTTTCGTCTAAATTCCAGCCCAGATTTCCACGTTTACCGTACCAGTTATAAATTACTGCTTCATTAGCAGATCCTGTTTTAAAGTTTTCATCTGCAGCTATTAGTTCTTCCCCTGGTTGGTGGGAATCACTGATACTGAATCACTTTTCTTTTTCTTGTTCTGGTCCTCAGAAACTGAAATAAGATAAAAAGTAAATTTTACTCCTGTTTTCCTCCAGCAAACAGAGCCTCTTAGGTCAGATTGACTACTGACCTAGTAGCAACAGCTGCAGCAACGCAAGAAACAACTGGTTCCTTCAGGATTTTTGAGGTTCACTCGTAAGGAAACAATGAAGGAATGAGAGCTGAGAATAAAAAATAAAGTGTAATGCACAAATGAGCAGCAGACTTCACTCATGTCAAATTCCCTTCTCGGGAAGGGAAATTTCTGCGTACCACTTTGAAAAAAACCCACCAAGATTCTTCCCAGCCCACAAATTTAAGTCCTGGGGACATCGTTTTGTGGCTGAACGAACATAAATACCCGGGCAGCATCCAAGTCATGGGAGGTTGTGCCAGCGTCGCGCTGACATCAGGGGGAGCAGGAGGAGGCAGAGATCTCGTAAGCGCATGAGATCCTGGTTTTCTGTGAGAGGCTTGCAGTTTCTTTCCGTCTGCGGATTAAAACCAGGGAGCTACACGCTCGCTAAAAGCACGTGTCCCAGGTCAAAGTCTGATTTGCACTGAAAATACACACTGATCTGAGAAACGGAGCTGCAGGAAACGCAGAGCTCCAGGCTGGGCTCTACCCATCGTCTGCAGCAGGCTAATCTCTTCTGAGACATCTCTGTTGCTGGAGATTTTATCTCTCTTTTCAGCACTCCTGTCCTTACTGCTGGAGTATTTTTCAAATGTCAAAGGTTGTTCCCAGACATGGGAAACAGGACAAAACCCATGAAAAGCTTCATTCTCAGGCCAACTGGGAAAAATCAGAAATGTTGCAGAGTGGAGTCTGCTGAGACTCTCGTGCTCTACTGCCCAGAGGTGCGGAGTCATCCGTGGTTTTCTGCCCACCTGGGGTAAGAAACACTGATGTTAACAGCTCTGTCTTGGCAGTTCCCCAAAAATCCAGACCCTTTATTACCTGCATGAAAACAGCAGAGCTGTAAAATCTCACAGGACCGTGCACAGCCCGCGGTGAGCCTTGGTCAAAGCATCAGAACCTGGGCAAGGCAATGAAATTAGCCTTGGGCTTGGAGAAAGTCTTTGCCCATAGCCAGCAAACGTTTCTTACGACCTCGTGGTGGTGTTAGCACGTCAATTTTTCCCTCTGGGTAGCTCCATGTGGCTGGCACTGAGCTACTGTGTTTTATTAGACAGGCCAGTTGGTTCTGTGGATAACTTTACAATCATAGAATCATGTTCAAGCTCAGACATAAGAACAAAAGCCATCAGGCTCTGTCTTTCTCATTATTATGTTGGCTTCATTTTTCTTCCAGGACCCCCCTGATGATGGCTTGCACCCGACAGAACCTGGAGGTGATCAAAGCTCTCGTGGAGCATGGAGCCAACCCGCTGCTGAAGAATAAGGATGGCTGGAACTGCTTCCACATCGCGAGCCGGGAGGGTCATCCCCACGTCCTGCGGTACCTGCTCGATGTGTCCCCAGACAGCTGGGATACAGAGAGTACAATCAAGAGGACGCCTCTGCACACAGCAGGTAAAAGAGGGTCCCGTTACCGCAAGATGGGTTAGAAGAGACGAGGGGGCTGTGGCGGCAACGGAGACCAGGAAGGGGTTGCTGCTGCAGTTCGTGTTTTGTTCGGAGAAGCAAAGCATGACCTATCTTGATACAAAAACACAGGGAAGCAGTTAAATCAGTGAAATAGGGAGGGGATTGTCCCCCTGTGCTCAGCACTGGTGAGGCCTCAGCTTGAGTGTTGTGTCCAGTTTTGGGCACCTCCGTCCAAGAGAGATCTTGAGCGAGCGCAGAGGAGGCCAACGGAGCTGGGGAAGGACCTGGAGGATAAATCTGATGAAGAGTGATTGAAGGAGCTGGGGCTGTTGAGTTTGAAGAAGAGGAGGCTGAGGGGAGCCCTCATCGCTCTCTGCAACTGCCTGACAGGACGTTGTGGAGAGGTTGGGGCTGGTCTCTTCTCACGGGTAATGAGCGATAGAACCAGAGGGAACGGCTGCAAACTGCAACAGGGCAGGGTCACACTGGGCAGGAGGAAAAATATTTTCCCAGAAAGAGTGGTCAGAGCTTGGCACAGGCTGGGCCGGGAAAGAGTGGTCAGAGCTTGGCAGAGGCTGCCCAGGGAGGGGGTTGAGTCCCCACCCCTGGAGGTGTTTAAAGGCCGTTGAGATGTGGAATTGGGGGAGATGGTTTAGGGGTGAGCTCTGTAGAGTAGGGTCAGTGGTTGGACTTGGTGATCCCAGGGGTCTTTTCCAACCTGAAGGATTCTACGATTCTATGGAATTAAATGAAAAGAAGCTGGTGGTAGGTACTAGCAGGAACTCACCTCTCTGAACGTCAGTCTGCTGCCAGGGCTCTGCAGCATCTCTGCAGAGTTTCACCTCAGGACACACAGTTGTTTTAGTTGCTTTTTGGATAAATAAACAGCAAGGGTTTGGCTTAATATTTCTTATCATTGTGTCAAAGACTGAGCTTGTGAGGTTGGAGGGTCCTCAGTCCCGTTTCACTGGATTTTGCCCATACTCAAAGCATGCTTTGTGCTGCATCATGGTTTTGTCCTCTTGGGAGTGGTGGCTTCGATCACTCACTGACTTTGGCCTCCTCGGACCAGGGTGTTGGTTTCCATCTCTGCTTCCCTGTGACATACATCCAAGCTTTGGTGGCCTAGGGCACGTTGCAATATACTTTTCCTTGAGGATGTGTAAAACCGTGAATTGCACTTGAAAAATGTGCAGAGCTCCAAGCGCATTGTGGCATTTTGAAAATCCTAAAAAAGCGGCAGAGCTGCTGAAAGACACCTTTTGGGATCTACCTCTTGACGGACGAAGTTTATAATCTAGTTGTCAGTTTTTGTAAGAGATGTATTTCTTGAAATGATCAGTTTTTATCCAAATGCTTGGTCACTTAGGTCATTATGGTGAATCTGAAGAGCTGTGGCCTCTCCAGGCACAACCTCCTGGTGAGGGTTCAGGCTGGGCTGGTTACTACACTGTGACAGATGCTCTCTAAGCCCTCTTGCTCCCCAAACGTGAGGGGAAAGGGAATAAGGCAGAGAAACTTGTGGACTGGAAAAGAAAACAAAAACAGCTTTAATAAAACAATATTAGTACGAATAAGGAAATAATGAAAATAAGGAAATACAGACAAATATATAGAGTCGATATCAAACTCAACTGCCCCCACCCCAACAGCAATCCCCAGAGCAGACGGCACCAGGGCAGCCCCAGGCTCAGTGGCAGAGGGAAGCTGGACACAGGGGCTGAATTTGGGAACTTGGGATCAAACACAGAAGATCAGAGTCCTGCGTGAACACCGACTGTTGAAGAAGAGAGCCTGACCCCTGGGATCCCTCAGTTTTATACTGAATATGGATTGGAATACTCCTATCAGTCACCTGTCCTGTCCGTTCCTCTCCAGAAGTGCGACCTTGTACTTCTTTGCGACCCCTTTTACTTCCTGGCACCCCCAGCACGGCACACGAGATCCAGCAGTAGTGACCTTGGTCACTGTAGGAGCAAGTATCAGCAAGAGCCTTTCTGCTTCCCAATCCCAGACTGTCAACATCAGGTGTTATCGCTTCTGGTAGCAGCCACCGTCTGCAAAAACACGCTGTTAACTTCAGAAAGTGCAGCCTCTTAGAAGAGACTGAGCTGAGAAGTAAAAGCACTGAACGGAATGGGCTCTGTTTAGTTTACAGCAGGGCACCTCTAGAAGAAGCATCGCAGGTTTGGGTGTTCTCAGGTAGCTCTCAAGGAGGTGGTATCTACTGGTGAGAAGTCCAGCGTGCCTTTCTGCAAGGTGGGAGGAGAGTCTCTGCTGGGAATACGCAGGGACTGTTGTTAAGGTTGGAGCCCACCATGTCCAGTTCCCCTTCTCGGCTCCTTTTCTTGAGTTTAAAAGGACATAAAAGGGGAGGGAACTGGTTTGAAGAACCTCAGACATCACCAGGCGTGATGCAGAAGAGGAGAGCACAGGTGGCTGAGTGGTGACCCAGAGGCAGTTCGGGTTTTGTTTCTGGCTTTCTGATGCGTTTGGACTCGAGATGGAGCGATTTGTTGTAATATATGAATGATGCACACCGTGTACCTCCCAGTCTTAATAAATTGAATGCCCCCAAATCCGTTAATGCAGATTTAAGCTTGTCCTGCCACATCTTGTTGCCTCTTACAGAGTATCAAGTCTGATTTCCCGCAGCCAGGCTGTGCAGATAAAGCGTGGGTCTTCCCAGAGCTTAAATCCCCTCAACTCTGCCCTCCGGAGATGCAGTGAGAGTGGACGATGAAAGGAAGAGGAGTGTGCCACAGGGTGAGGTTTTAGAGAGGCTCAGGGCCGGTGCCCTGACCCTCAGCAGCGATTACACCCTGTGTCCCAGGGCTCATCAGTGTCTCCGCAGGAGAGATGAGCGTGAAGAGCCAGCGCTCAAACCGACAGCTACCTAAACTCATTTCCCAAAGGATTTAATAGGGGTCAACTCTCTGGAAAGACCTCGAGGTATCGTGACGAGCCCCTCGCTGTGCTGTAATTAATATCCTGGGTATGTTGCTCCTTGGCTGTCATTCCTGTTACTTTTCTCTGACCCTCAGGAGCCACCTCTCCACCACGCTGGGCTCATCAGCAGTGACAGCCTCAGCCCAGGGGCATTGCCTGCGCCTTAGTCCTTGTGCTTGACCTAGGAACGAAGCTGAGGAGTTGTTTGATGTTTCAGGCTGGGCGGCGAGGAGTGGCTTGCCTGAATGAGAAGCGGCTAATCCTTAATTTATTTGCGCCTTCTCCTGTTACCTGCTCTTGTGTCTGGGCTAGCAGGCCCCTGCCCTCAGAGACGAGGATGTGGGGTCGAGATCTGGGGCTTGAGGGTCTGAGGACAGGGTCAGGAGCAAGCTGAGGACTGACCTTAAGCTTAAAGTCTCCTCACTGCCTTGCAGCACTTGGCATGTGGGTATGGACGGTGACAATGGGACCCAGCGCTCGGTTCTCGCTGCTTTGCAGAGGTGTCTCCATCTCTGTGTTGCCTCCCACGTTTGACTTTCACTGCGGTGAAGCCATCAAACCATGATTTGGGTTGATTTCTGGTCATTTTACTGACCCTGGTGGAGCAGCAGCTGGTGCGGGAGCGACTGGGCAGCAGGAAGGACTGGAGTTGCTTAAACCACCTTTGCCCTCGGCATAATTTGCACCCAGGATGATGCTGGAGGCTGCTGCTGCACACCCACCACATAGCCCGGTCGCACAGACACAGCTCCTGAGGCAGAGACACGGGTGAGGGACCGACGACAACCCTGTAGCTGCTGGGGCAAATCATGTCAAGACCAACCTCAGTCTCCATGAGTTTTCATCCTGAGGGTGTGGATATGAGCACATTAACCCGTGACCAGTCCAGCTGGCTTCCTGGCACACTTATCCCTGGATAGATGATGGGTAATTTTCTCCACCCCCCATGCAAATTTTTTTTTTCTCTTTTTTTTTCGGGTTGATTCCTCCAGCTTTGCTGTTTTATGTATCCGTAGCCTGAGGCGAGAGAGCGGGTGAGATGTAATTAGAGGAAGTGGAGTGCAACAGTGGATCTAAGCACTGCAGCTTTCTTGAGTCTCTGCTGCTGTTCAAGGATGTAATCGTGTTGCTTGGGGTGTTTTTTCCTTCACGTAGCTCAAGCCTCCTTTTTGAAAATCCTTCTCGCAGTGTGGCTTCTGTCAGCTTAGGTGAAGGGGGGATAAAGGGGCAGGGAGCAGGAGCAAACAGCCGAGATCTGGGAGGATGGGAACGCCTCGCTGGGCTTTCAGAGAGCATCTATTGTGCAGCTGCTTCTGAAGGTTATTGGTGTAACACGCATTTGACAGGGGCCCTTCTTTCATGGCAAAGAGTAAATAGCCTGACGTAGCAGCTCCAGGCTTGGTTTGATATTTCTTTAATGTGTTTAATTTGTTTTGCCGAATGACCTGCAGGAAATTAAAAAAAAAAAAAAAAGAGCTAGCTCAAGGATGTCCTTACATTTCTGTAATATGACGTGTTTAAAAAAAAAAAAAGAGAATATTTCAATGCAGGATATTCAAATCCTCCCCCGCTGTTGTTGTTTTTCCTCTGAGATGCTGTCTGGGTGAGGATGCTTCATTAGGATGATGAGATGGGAGTGATGAGCGGCTGAGGGATGGGGTGGAAATGCCATCCAGCTATTCACCAGCTCGCTGCTTTGTGTTCGTTTTGATTCTCTCGGATTTCACTTCGAGGATTAACAAATACTTGCAAGAAGAGATCTTTGTGCCAGCTTGGTTGCATGCACGCTCTCACGCATGTACTCTGCAGGTAGAGGCAAATGGTGCCTATGTGCATCCCTTTTCCCTGATTTATCTGGTGTTTTCATAGGAAGGGAAAGCTTGAGATCTGAGGACGATGGTTTAATTGTATAAAAAAATATTAAAAAATCAAAAGCTTTGAATTCAAAGCCTCTTGGAACGCCTTCCCTCATCATGAATAAGCCAAAAGGGTGAGAAACCTGATCATGTTTCACCGGAGGCTGACAGTGGCATGAAAACATAAATTAACTGTGCGTTTCCTCTCCCCTGTAGCGATGCACGGCTGCTTTGACGTGGTGGAGCTGCTCCTGGAGCGGTAAGAAGGATTCCTCCCGGTGCTGCCTCTGCCTCCTCGCTCTCCCCCACCTCCCTTCCGCAGCCGGGCTCGCTCCAGCCGCCTGGACACAAAAGGGAGTTTATGCTGTTGGAGAAGCTGGGTTGCACAGCTGCCCTGCATGCGATCCCGAGGCCGTGTCCATCCCTTCCGGCTTCTTTGCGGCCCGTTAGGGGCCTTTGAGACAAGGATGGTCTCCAGATGGGCTCCCGTGGGCTCTGACTTCACTATGACATAAGCCTCGGTTATATAACTCGGCTCTTTTTCTGTGCTGATTCATTCCCGTCGCCTCCGATCTGTCTGAGGCCGTACAATAACAACAAAACAGTTTTCTGACAGCTCGCTTCTGAGCCTGCAGCTCCTCTAGGCTGGGCTTAGCCTCTGGGCTTTTATTTTCAGGCTGTGGCTCCCAGGAGACGGCTGCAAAGTGGCTTGGAATCAGCCAGTGCCCAGTCATCCTGACCCGGTTACCTTCCTAACCAGCACTGCCTGTGCCAGAGCCTGAGCAGCTTTCCCCAGGCATCGCTGCGAGCCACAGCTCCCGTTAGCCGACTCGTCCCAGCCTTGGTAATTGCCGTCCATGCTTGGCCCAGCATAAACGTAGCCCTGTGATTCGAGCCAGGCTTTCTGTTTTAATTCAGCCTTCTCTCATTTCAGTGGAGCTTTAACCTGAGCGAGACCCGTGGGCTTTGATTTGGCACGCGGCGTTGTTACACAAGGATATTGTTTTCCCCTCGGCTTGTGCACGCCTTGCTCCTTTCAGAGATCCTCTGTTTAGAGGGAAGGGAAATAAACATAAATGATGTGCAGACCCCAGCATTCATACCTGAGTAGCAGATCTCTGACCTGAAACACCCCAGCAGACCATAACCCGGGCTGTAAAGCATGAAGGCAGGTTTATACAAGGTCTGCGGACCAGCTTTATGTTTGTCATTTCTGCTCGTGTCCACTGATAGTCTCCTGCCCCACCAGTGCAAAGCAACTAGTGCTGTGAAGGATTTTAGAGCCGCTAACAACTCTGTCCTGGCTTCTGTCTCCTCTCCCAGGTGCCAGTACAAACCTGACAGCAGAGACAAATGTGGAGTCACTCCCTTTATGGACGCTATCCAGAACGGGCATGTCAACATCGCCCAGCTGCTCCTGGCTAAACACCAGGTAGGTGCCAAAAGCCTCACCTCGCTCCCGCAGGACCTGGCTTAGAACCGCCAGGACAGGCAATCCGTGCGTTCACCGTATTGTAAAGGAGCAAATTCCAGAACTGTAAAGAAGTCAGTTGCAAAACAAACAAACAAAGAAACAAAAAAAGACAAATTCTCGCTGGAGATGAGCAAGGTTTTGCCAAGTTAAGGCCATGAGGACTCACCTTACGATGAAGATCTCACCCTGGTGCAGGGACATGTCCCCCAGAGCTGGCAAAGGGGGATGGGGACACGAGGCGGTGGCAGGAGGGGACAGGACTTGCCCAGCTCTCTAGGGGCAGCTGTGTCAGAGCCATGACCAGCGCTCAGGAGGGTCAGGACTCGGGGTGGAGGCCCTCATGACTGAGGCTGTGCCGGCAGCAGCTCAGACTCTGGCCTCCCTCTCTCATGGCAACTGCTGCTCCTGTGTTGTCTCCCAATAATCTCCGATTTCCTCTGATGTACACAAGGCGTAACCGGGATGTCCTTAGAGCAAATTGTGCACAGCAGGAACCAGACTGCTGCATTATTTATTGACTCCTGAATTGATGGGAGATGGTTGGAGCCCACCTAACAGCCAATTCTCATGGAGGTAGGGTCAGGCTGCGCTGAACTGGTGCACCTGGCTGGCCTGGCAGGAAGCTGGCATGGTCAAACTAGTGAATTTATTTGTGCCTCACCGGCAGGTTGAACTGACCAGCTGAGGCCCCACAGTGTGGCATGGAGTGGGCCAGGGAAGGTGTTAGCACGCTTTTCAGGTCTTCCTCAGACGTAACAGGTAGCCTCAGCCAGGAGGGTTTGATGCCCAGGTTGTGTTTGAGTGTTTAGATACCTCTTGACTTCAGGAGATGTTCGTGTGCGTGTCTTCACTCATCTGGCCCTTATAGGTTAAAACGCTTTGCTTGTGTCTTCAGTCTCGCATTTCAGGCCACGCAGATGGAATACTTGATTTAATTTCCTCGTTGTGGTGCCCTGGCTTACTGCCATGAAGCAGCACTGGAAATGCTAATGGCAGCATCGCCACCTTCTAGGTTTTATAAAACCGTGAGTCGGGCCCAGTAGACTTCAAGGCGCTCATCCTTTAAGATGAGCACGTTACCCTTCTTAATTTTACATCTTTGCAGTTCGTGTTTAGAGACTCACAGATGAGATCTCATGAGGTCGTACCACTACCTGCATCTAAGTTCTTCTTCACCAGCACAAAGAGTGGAGATAGGTTGTTTCTTGCTGCTTCAAGGAGTCGAAACCCATCACACGTGCATCAGCTGAAGAGAGAGGGGGCTTAGTTCTTCCTATTTAGCACTAATTTTGCTTATCACTTAAAAAGTTCAGCAGAGAGCTGGCTCTGGTCTGCAAATCGTGGTGCTACCAACTGCACTGGTCCTGCTAGTGACATCCCACGTGTTCCTTGCCGTCACCATGGCCACGGCAGGCAGACACGATTCTGCTTGGGCTGGTGATTGTCCTTGAAGGTTTGACCAGGCTGTTCATTGTTTTCCCTTGCCCTCCTTCCCCATTCCAGGCCTGTCCTTCAGCCATGGACGCTCTTGGCGCTCAACCTCTGCACCGGGCAGCCGTCACGGCCCAGGATGAAGCCATCCAGTTCCTTGTTTCCGAGCTGGGTGTTGATGTCAACGAGAGAGTCACAGCCCTCCAGCTCACAGCCCTGCACTACGCAGCCAAGGTTTGTTCCTGTTCCCAGGCTTCCCCTACAAAGTCTTTGCCAGCCGGTTTGCTACAGGCAAGGCATCTAAAAAAGTCTGGTTTGCCACTGATGGAGGGTTTACGTTCCTAGCTCGTCCTCTGCCCCTGTCTATCTGCTCCCAGCCAGCCCCAGACCCTGTTTAATTGTTTTTACACCCTCATTAAGTGTGTCCAGCTGTCTGCAGAGTGGCGAGTTGCTCTGTTCGCCACTTTTGTGCCTGTGCCGCAGGCTGTGCTGCGGCTCAGTAAACAGGCTGTGCTGTGGCTCAGTAAACTGTCCTGCCTGGCGTGGGGCTGAGTGGGATCTTGCAGGAGCAGTTGGCCACGCTGAGGTTGGGGCTTGACCCACACCTCAGATGAGCGTTAACTCTTCCAGTCTGCTGCCTTTAGACCAAAACACGATCATAGAATCATAGAATGCTTTGGGTTGGAAGTGACCTTTAAAGGTCATCCAGTCCAACCCCCCTGCAGTGAGCAGGGACATCTTTACCCAGATCAGGTTGCTCAGAGCCCCATCAAGCCTGACCTTGAATTTCTCCAGGGATGGGGCCGCCACCACCTCTCTGGGCAACCTGT